CTCCATCGAAAATCATGCAACACTGCACCTGTAAAAGGCGATTGGAGGCAACACTAAATGGGAATATATTTTCATATTACTTGCTGCCCAGTTAAGGGGTGGGCGATGCATTAGAATTTAGTATCTAGCGACAAAGGGATACCGATTAATTAAAAATGATCAGAAGGGGGGGAGTCAAAGTCAGCGAGCCATGCCTAAGTAGCTGACCAGCAACAACAATAACAGCAAATAGCAACAGTAACAAGAACAATCCATAACGGGAGAAATGCCCAACTAAGCGACTAATGTAAACAAAGTGCCAACATTTGACTCTTGATGAATGTGCAGCCAATAAATCCATTTATGCTAAGCACTTGCTTATTATTATAATCCGCTGTGATGCACACACTACACACTCTGCAAACAACCACACACATACAGCAGCATACAGCACCTACCCACCCACACGTACAGTCAACATCAACATTTAACCCTAATTTGCATTTATGTGCACACGGAAGCTGTTTGGTTTATGAAGGGGCTCAGACCCTGGACCTGGCTCTGTGATTACCTGGCGAGCTCTTTTGTGTCTTTAGCTCTGCATAAGGGCAATAAAAGCAATTCGCAAAAAATGTATGTAGTTACACACACACACACACTCACACACATACAAAAACAGTTGTATGTGCCGCACTAATGCACACACAGCTACTTATAAACTCACCTTAATTAAACGTGATTAAGTAGATTTCCTCGTTTTTATGCTCAACGAACTGTTTAGTTGTCGATGTGTTTGTGTGCCTGTTTTCCTTCTTTTTTTTTTTGTTTTTTTGTTTTATTATGTTTGCATGTGTATGTGTGTCTGCCCAGTGCTTATTAGTGTACATTTATTATGCGCTCACTCGACATAGGGTATGGTCCATTTGATCAACTTGTTTGCAACAAATTAAGTAACTATAAAATCAAATATTTATGTGTGATAGTTGAGCGTGGAGCACGCAATGAATATGCCAGAGTGCTGACCCTAGTAGATAGTTGCATAATTACCAGAATTGCATTTGTTATGTACCCCAAAAGCTGCAGATGAATTCCATTTGCCTCAATTGAGCCATTTTTTTTCTACATTTCCAAGTTCATAAAACTAAATAGCTCTAACAGCGATATTGCTACTTGTTAAATAAATAAGTTTATATTTATGCATTATATTTACAATAAATATTATTTTGACAGTTAAAAAAATGTGATGTAGCCTGAAATGGAATAATACAACTGCTGCTCTTCAATTTGTGAATTAAGGTCGTCAATTTAAGTCAAGTTTAACGTGTGCGCGGAATTCAAATAGGTTTGAATTTTGAAGTACGAACAGTACGAAGTAATTGGAGCATTCATTTTCAACTGCTGCAGCAACTAAAGCTAACAGCTTTAACCAAACAAAAAAACAGTTTAACATTTTTCTTTTCTTCTATTATTATCAAAGACTGCCTGGCTATTATGCCGAGGCACAGAAAGCACCTCTGCCAGCTGTGGAATAATTGGCAACTAGTTTCCTTATTAATAATTTGTGAGCTTAGCTGAAAGCGCTCTTGAAACATAAGCCTATTTAAGATTCGGTCTTCTCAATTTACTATATGAGCATAAGTCTGTATTGCTGCTGTTTCTTTAAATGGTTGTTGTTGTCGTTGTTGCTGCTGCTGCTGCTGCTGCACGCACGTTGTTGTAATTTAGTTTCATTTGTGCATGAAAATGAATTTGTATTATTGTTTGCATTAATTTGCCTTATTAATTACATTTATGCCCATTGCCGACTCCGACTATTATTTCTTTCTGTCTTTCTTTCCTTTCCTTTCATTTTTTTTTGTTGGTTTTTTTTATTTGTTGTTGTGTGCGCTGCCCGCTCTGTCCCTGGGGGTAATTTGAACGTTGGCTGTGCGGGCAATCAAATAAATAATGAGGCTGTGTGGCTGCGTCGCTGCCGATGCCGCTGTCGCAGTCGACGCTGACGTTGACGTTGACGTTGCGAAGTCGGCCCAACTTGAAGTTTGTTTAATATGCGAAAAACGTTGCAGAACTTTTGCAGCTACTTGTCGTCGGCGTCGACGCCGACAACATTATCGTTGTTTTAGTTGTTTTTGTTGTTGTGATTGTCTATGGCAACTTGGTTTTATTATTTGTTGCTGCTACTCGCTATCTGTATATATTTCTATAATTGCCTTCTGTCTTTCTCTGCGCCCAGCGCCCAACTCCAAGTATCTGTTCCTTTGTATCTGTAACTGTAGCTGTATCTGTGTGTCTTTGTAACTGTATCTGCAGCTGAAACTGGTTCAAGCATCGCAACATATTTAGCAAGGAACTTTTTTCTTGTTTCTTCTGTTTTTTTTCTCTATCAAATTGTTGATTGTTCTATCCAATTCAGTTCAATTCACTTGTTGTTGCCATTTTCTTGCTCTCTGCAGCACCTCCTTTTCAATTAGCTTTCGTCTTGACAAATGCAATTGATGCCACATCGTCGATTTCGACAGAATTTCAAATTGAATTCAATATATTTCGCAAAGCGTGCCGCGTGGCGTATGAGCAATATATGAACATCATTATTAGTTTCTTTAATATTGAATCAAAGTGGTAAATAACGCCCTCCCACAGTTCCTGTGAAGTATTGGCCGTGATTCCACGGCTTCCTTCAAAATCACCACATCAATGCACATTTCATTAGCAAATCATATTGCAATTATTGACAGTGAAACAACATTGTGATTATCTGCAAAGCGGTATGCCACAAACTAACTTACCAGTTGCATGAGTAGCAGCTGTTTAAACAAAATTCAATAGTGCCTTAGTTTATTTGAGTCCGTTAGCTTAATAGAAGTTCTCATCATAATTTGAAATGTAAAAAACATTTTCTACTTAACATATTTATTGTTAAGGAAACATTTATAATTTTACTTGATAATTTACAAACATAGGCTGAACTTGAAAAATCCACACCAAACTGTTTGAATTATTTTCTGCTAACTTTAACTAACTTATAGCGGAAAACGAATCTAAATAAGTTATGACGCTATTGAAATCATTGACTAATATTTACTATGCATACCTTCACCTAAACTCGAATCCCATTTTAACTGATCATTATGTGAACATAAAATAAATTTACGTCAACACCGGCAGCGAGAATTTTGCCACATTTTCTAAACCAAATATGTATTTTTCGCAGTTTGGCCAAAAAGGTATTTCGCTTAAATCAGAAACAAACTGAAGCTTGTTAGTAGTGTTTGAGTTGTGCACATAAATTTTGTAGTATTTTTAAAGCACTTTGGGGAAAAAGTGGCGTTGCAAAGCCAGCAATAAAATGTTGCCACAGAGTTATATATTTAGTGGGATGTCAGTTGGTTAGCTGCTGCTTGCTTGTCAATCAATAAAGGTATGAAAGATGTAAGGGGTATGGGGATGTGGGGTGTGCAGGGGATTGGAGTTACAAGAATAAAAAACTGAAATGTCAACTGGCTAAAGCTAAAACACTTCACAATCAAGCTGAGCATAAAACTCGCAGCGGTGCAAAACACACAAACACAAAAGACCGTGCACGTCAACCTCAAGCAGCGCACTAGGCCACGTTGATTTATACACACACACACACACACACACACGTCGAGCGCAATAACAACAATAAAAAGTAAAAAAAAAAAAAAGACAAAAAAAGCAAGAAAGAAATGAAAGAACGAGAATGAGAATAACAACAAGCAAACAACGAAAAAAGACTTCCGTGTTGATTGTTTTGTTTTGCTTGCTTGTGCGAACGACGACGACGACGACGACGACGACGCCATAAAAGCGACTACGTCTGCGAAAATCACTTTAAAAACAAGTGAAAGGAGCAAGAGAGAGAGGGATGTGGGGCGGGGCGTGATGGGGCGGGGCGCAGCGACTGGAGGCTGGCAACAAACCTGTCCATCAACAAAACTATTGCAACAATAAACAAGAACAATTTGACAATTGAAGTGCAAAAAAAGAGAAAGAAACAAACTGAGAACTGAGAACTGAGCCGGGACAACTGACAAGTAGCCTCAGCAACTAGGAGCAGTCTTCTGTGTGTGTGTGCGTTGCAGGGGGTTGGGGGGAGGGGACTTGTCTTTGGCACTTGAGCACAGTTTCCGGTCATTTACACGTACACCAGCCGCACATGGCATGGCAATCTCTGCGTGTGTGCACAAGTGTGTGTGTGTGTGTGTGTGTGTGTGTGTGTGTGTTGCTGACACACTATCCTACATTTTTATTGGCGCTCATTTGAAGCAGCCGCCCCGCTTGCCGTAATTGTGCCTGGATTTCAGTCTGTTATCATTATCTCTCTCGCCCACAAGGTCAGCCAGCGTTCGACCAAGCAACAACAACAACAACAACAACAACAACAGAAATTCAATTTCATTTCACGTAATTGTTTAGTTTTGTTTACACATTGTATCAATTTTCGCTTGCAGCCCCCAGCAGTCAAGCGCTCAAAAATTGGCCAACACAATTAGCACACACACACACTCGCACACACACACACACATACAGACACACACGCACACTCACAGTGACAATAAACAGCGCTGGCAGCAGCTAAGAAATTGCTGAGCCAGCAGCAGCAGCATAAAAGTATGCTACGGAAAATTACAAAAGGCAACTGGACCAAAAACTTTGACTCAACTTGGATGCCAATTGCTTTGCACAGACTCCACGTGCAGCAGCTGAGAGAGTGAGAGAGTATGAAAGAGAGAGAGAGAGAGAGAGAGAGAGAGAGCGCGCGCAAGAGACAGAGACAGTAGAGTGAGTGTATTAGAAATGAGAGAGGAAACTGCTCTTTGCGCAGCTGCTGCCTGTTGTTGTTGTTGCTGCTGCTGCTGCTGCTGATGCTGGTGCTGCTGTTGCTGCTGCTGCGACGTCTCCTGCAGGATCAGGGTGTGGTGAGTATGCTGCTGCTGCTGCTGCTGCTGTTTGGTTTGCTTATGCTCTAGCTGGCTGTAAACTTAAAAGCTGTGCCCTACCTGCTGCTGGCGTCGCTGCCGGCGTCGCTGTCGCTCTTCGCTGCTGTTGAACAAATTTTCCTGCTGCTGCTGCGCTGCTGCTGCTGCTGCTGCTGCGCTGCGCGCTTTCCACTGAACCGTTTCTTTTTTCTTCTTCTTTTGGCTGATATGTGACGGGCAGCACTTTCACACACACACGCACACACACACACACGCACGCAGGCACACACACGCTCAACGCAACGCAAACACTCGCAACGCACACACACACACACACACACTTTACACTCACACGCGCGCGATTCTGATGTGCTGCTGTTGTTGCTGTTGCTGTGGTTGTTGTTGTTGTTATTGCTGTTGTTGGTGCTTCTGCTTGTTAGTTGCTTGCTGCTGTTGTTTGCATTTCACATTTTTAACATTTAACACACTGCTGTTGTTGCTGTTGTTGTATTTGATTGCATTGCTCTGCTTCTTCTTCTTCTTTCTCTTCTTCTTCTTCTGCTTATTTTTATTCTAGCTGTGGTTCTTTGTGTGGTGCAAAATTAAAAATTTTTCTATTTAGTCTTTCTCGAAACGCTGCTATTTTGTTGCGCGCTGCCGTTGCACAAACCGTACACGTCAACTGTCTGCACCTGACTGACGGAGCACCAAAGAACAACGAGTCCAGTGAGTCTCTGCTGGTCGCTACTGGTTCTGCTGCTGCTGCTGCTACCACTGCTGCTGCTGCGAGAGAGAGGATGACAAGCCAGTGAGAGAGCAGAGAACGCGAGCAAAATCGATGCCAGCGCCGACGCCGTCGGAATGTGGATGCTGCAAAACGACAACAATAACAACAACAACAACAACAACAATAACAGCAACAACTACAACAACAAGCAGCAGCAGCATCGACAACATCTTCGTCTGCTCTTCGTTTGAAATTTGTTGCGGCCTGGTATACGCCTCAGTCACTGGCGTCTGCTGGCGTCGCTGCTTTTGTTTTGATTTATTTTTGTGGTAGGTTCTGCTGAGATTGGCAAAGAGCAAAAGCTAAGAGCATCGAGCAGCCACAGCCTCGAAAATTTCGCATAACTACGGCTATTTTGAGAATTGCCTTTCATTTGCAATTCATAGCTATCGGCGCTGACCCAGAAACTCCCCAAGGAACACACTCACACACACACACACACACACAGATATACAGTGCCTGCTAACTCATGTTGACAACTATAAATAAAACAAGCCCCAGAGTAGCAGGGCGCAATTTTCAGTACTTGTAGCTTCTGCTCCAAATCAAAAGTACAAATCCCAAATAAAATTGAGAGCATACACACACACATACAGAGACACACACACGAACACACACACATAGGCATAAACACGTATACGTACGATTGGAAATATACAAATACGTATATTGTGTATAATTTTCAATTGCCAACAAAAGACCAGCCTTAAATAAATATCATAAAAAATATGAAAATAAATAAATGAGGCGGCCAAATATAAATATTTGGTCAGCTACAGTTACCGCTCCGCTGTTCGGGCTTAACAAAAGGGCTGCCTGACTAGCCCCTGGGGGTTGTGGGCTGGGGGTTGGTGGGTATGTTTCGCGTTCGCATTGTACTCTAAAGGGAGTTGGTTATGTTTTTTCTTTTAAGCGGCTGCTGCTCTTTATGCAAACTGCCTCTGCCTCTCGCCGTATTCTTGTTATTGTTGTTGTTGTTGTTGTTGGTGTTGTTGTTGGTGTTGCCCTTGTTGTTGCCTGTTTTTCACTGTGTTTGTATGCGTAAGCGGCTCATGAATATGTAAATTGTTATTATTGCATATTGTTCAGCGGCAGCAGCAGCAACAGCAACAGCAACAACACCAACAGCAGCCGCAACAGCAGCACCCACTGCCAACGTTGAGCTGTTTTGGCGTGTGGCCTAAACAAAGCATCAGAAACAGAATAGAACAGAAGCAGGTAAAAAGTTTCAGCAGCAATCACTAAAATATCTCACGAAAGCAGTGAAGCTGTGGAAATGTGCTCGAGCTTTTCATAATAATTACTTAAGCATATCGCATCATTATGGGAATTTGGCACTATTTGAATTCATGTTTATGCAACGCAGTTTAGGTTGATTTAAATAAATTTCAGGCACATTAGAATTAATGTTAATTAAATGAAAATGTCAAAGTTATGCAATCAAACCTATATTTTGTTAGTTATCTGAATAACAAAAGCATCCTTTATATTATGTTTTCGGGTATTTAATAGACTTTTGCATAATTTAAAATTAGTCTTCGTTATAAAAGTACAAATATTATATTTGTTCTAATTAATAAATAAATAATAAATAAATGAATATTTGTTTCGATTATTATGTATTATTATTTTTGTATTTTTTGAAAACAATTTCATTTTCTTTCCTCTAATAAATCATTTCATTATTTATTTTATAATGTGACTTACTTAAACTAAGATTAGTGATATTTTTGCTAGCCAACATCTCGTTGGAATTTTCCTTAAAGTTAAATGATGAGCGACAGCAACCTTGTTAAGCTTTAAGAGCTGAAACAGACAGTGTCAAGTTAACTTACCTAGAATTATTGTCAATAGCAATGGGGGCCTTGGCAACAAAGTAATGGCCAAATAACATACACACACACACACACACACACACACACTCATACACATATACATATGTATGCCGCTGGCTGTGCTGTGCTTGAGGCATTATTGTCAACCTGAAACATGCGAAAGAAGCAGAAGCAGAAGCAGAAGAAGAAGAAGACTTTTTGACGCGTCGCCTCTGATTGGCAGCTCTTCGAGGCAGTCAAAGTCGAAGCCGAGGCAACAGAGAAGGCAAAAATCATCGTGGAAATACTGTGAGTGCCACACGCTGTCGTCATCGCCATCATCGTCATCTATAATAACATCAAACAGCGCTGTCCAGAGCAGCACCCAGCCAGCCAGCCAGCCAGCCAGCCAGCCAGCCAGCCAGCCAGTCAGCTATTCAGCCAAGCAAACCGGCAAACCCAGTGCCCACGTCTATTGGGTTTGTAGTACTAGACGCAGCAGCAGTATGAGGATCTCATTCCCGTTCCCATTCCCATTGCCACTTCTACTCCAATTCCCATTCCACGCTCAACTCCCCGCTTGTTATCACGCGCAATAAAAACCAAGTTGGATTTTTGGTTTTTTTTCTCTTCTTTTCGCTTTCTTGCCGTCTGTATACTCTTCTAAAGGATACACTGAATCTGACTTGGAGTTGGCCATGTGTCAATAGAAGTGGCTATTAAGCGAAGTCCTTCGACAGTTCATAACCTAGTTTATTGGTTGTGTCTGGTAATTTTCGTTTGTTTAATGCGAAGTTCCTCACTGATCATGGTTTGGGTTTTTGGTTTTGTTTTGATTGCTTCAGTATTTGATAGATGAACAGCATGTTAAAAGCCTTTGAACTTAAATCTCAGCAACAAATTTCGTCTTAATCGCAATAATATTTCACAATTTTCACAAATGCCTATTTATAAGCAAATCAAATTCAGTTACCTTTGGTTGTATTCAAAATATGCGCTTATCAATGAATTATTTGAAAAGCCCAAAGGGAAAATGATAAATATTTTTCTTATGCAAAAATGTTAACTTTTTGTTAATAACAAGCCATAAATATCCATCGTGCATTCGGTAAATGCTCAATCATTTTAATAGACTCTTGCCTTCAAGGGCATATAATCTTCGCCAAAGATAAATATCCTTTTTTTTCTCGCTTTTTTGTAGCCTGCGTTGATGCTTACTTGATTTTTCCTTCCTTACGATTTTCAAACATTTACTTTCGCTTTTCGCAAACGAAAACATAGACAAACACACACAGACACACACACACACACACAGGCAAACACACACATACACACATACACCAATGTACACGTATTCAAATTGTTAAGGTTTGGGGGTATGTGGTTAAGGGGTCGAAGAAGAAGAAGAAGAAGGTAGGTAGAGCCCAGGGGCTGCCAGTTGGCGCATAAAAAACGCCGTGTACGCAGGCGAAAATTGTTGTTCTAGAGTGTTTGAGCGGGCGAGAGGCGAGTGGCGACTGGCGAGAGTGGGGCGAAGGGCGAAGGGCGAGCGGAGAGGGGAGTGGGGGGCGGATGGGGGCGTTGGCATGGGCTATGGCACGCCCAGCAACACAGCGCTGCCGGCAGCGACGTCGCCGCCTGAATGCGCGTTTAGTTTCAAGTGTTATTTTTGTGCTAGAAGCAGCCGCCAACGAGGACATCTCTCGTCGTCTCGTCCTTATGCCCAAAACAGCGACGACGGCAGCGGCTGTGCCTGCTGCTTCGTTTCTGCTATGTCTTCGTCGTCGTCGCCGTCGTCGTTGTTGCCAACGCCAACGCCAACGTCGTCGTCGTCGACGTCTATTTTGGCTGAAGTGCGTAATTGATGTGAAAAGTGGCAACAAACTGTTTTTTATTTGCGCTTGCTTTCAATTTGTTTAAATTGCTGGGCGCTGTCGTTGCTGTGTATACACACGCACACCCAGGCAACACACACACACACACACACACACACACACACACACACTCGCACACACATTTAAAAACGCTGATTGAAGTTTTATTGAATTTTAAATTGAACTGTCCCCTGTCCTCCGTCCGTCTGTTTTCTGTTTCAGTTTCTGGTTCCGTTTGTCTTACAGAAACTGCTGTTTCTATTGCTTAAAGTTTTCACACTCTCTCGCCCTCTCACCCTTCACTTTTCTCTCTCTGTCTCTCTCGCTCTCGCTCTCTCTGTCTCTTTCTTTCTCTCTCGCTCTCACATTTGTTGGTGACATGTTTTTTGAGTGTTTTATTGTTGACACAAATAATGTCACTCAAATGTCGAAAAGAGGCCGCTTTTTCTTGTGGTTCCTCGGCTTCGCCTTGCCCGAGTTCCTATTGTTGTTGTTGTTGTTGTTGTTGTTGTTGTTGTTTGCTGCTGAGGTTTGACATACATTAAAGTAAGTTTGTCAGGTGCGTTAGGTAGTCGTCTGTCTAGAAAGTTAAGCGCTGCTGTTTCGTGCCGTGCCACAGAATAAGAAAAAAATAGCCAAATTGCTATTGGAATGCTAAAAAAGATAAAAATAAATGTCACATTTACCGACCATGAGCGGAAGAAATTGAGATACTTTCCTAAGTACTTCTGACATTTACATCTGTAACTAATAGATTACATCAATTGACTACAAATTTGTGTGTCAACACGTTTCCAGCATTTAAAAGTATATACATTTTGGGGGTAATGGCCTCGAAGCGACATTATCAAATCCTTAAAATTGATTCCCAATAGAAATCGAGACACGTTAAAAGTAACTGAAGCATAATTATAATGTTTAGTCATTTTTTAGCTAGTTAATGAAAAATTCAAAAACTCAGTGGATTAAAATTGAATTCTTCAGAATGAAAATATCGAAGTAAATTTTGTATACAAGTTAAAAAAAGAATAATAAAAATAATTAATAAAAATGAATATATTAAATATTATATATAACTCGGTTCACATTACAATTATAAAAAAAGCAATGATTAAAAATTGAGAAGTAGAGATATAAACTAAATTAATATACTGTTTGGTTAACTGTTTGGCTCATTCATCGTGTTCGAACACCGTTGTAAGCATTGATAAGAAATAT